CACTAATATAATCTATGCAAGAACTTTGAATAATCTTTATTGAAGTTTCAAGTAATTTTTAATTTATTCTGTACAGAACAAACATTTAAATTTCCTAAAGATATTTCTGAGTTATTTTAAATTAAAACATTCACAATTAAAAAAATAATAGAGACATAGCTTGTATGCAATAGTAACTGCAATTTTTGTTATAATAATTATATAATAATATAACCTTGTAATGTCCAATAAAACTTCTATTTTTAAAATTTGGGGATCCACTTATACTTGATTTCTTATTGATAATTTGAGTAATTTTAATTACCTATAAAAATACAAATATCCGCAAATCAACCTGTTTTAACACCATCTTATAAACATTCTATTTGTAGAATTAAATAATTCTTTTATAGCTTTGATATTTTTCTTATTGATAAATTTATTTATAAAGTACGCATGCAAAATTATTAACTGGGATAATCATGCTTTTTTAATTAGTATATACATTATATGAATTATTAGTTTGTACTTATGTTATTAGAAATTGTTAAGTTTGTTAAAAGTATTTTATCCTACACATGTATTATGAATTTAAATTACAAATTATTTTGCATTATATTTTACAAACAATTAAACATTTTTATACAGAGCACAGCAAGTTATGTTCCCATCAAAAATCCTAGTTTGACTTCTGGTACAGAGAGTGATGATTCAGGAACTGCTAAGCCAAAAAATAAAGTTGTTCGATTTAACAAAGTTGCTGAGGTAATACAATTCTATTTAAATAAATAGATAAATAAGTGTGTTTTTGGTCAACAAATTTCTTTCAAAAATCTATTTATTTATTAATTTTAATAGGTTAGACATTTATCTGAAACAGAAGCTACAGAAGCATTAATGGCTCGTTTATCTTATGCTGCTACAATAAGAGCACGAGAAATTTGTCGTTTATCTAGGCAATTACTAAATCTACATCAAACTGCAAAGCTAGCTTTCACRGTAGCTCCACTTGTAAGAATTACAATATATTTATATACTGACATTTGTTACTAAATTAGTGTCAATTAATTTAACCTCTCCACTATTCCCAAGTGCTTAAATTAAAACATAATTATAACTAGAAAATTGTTATCAAGTATTCAAGTATAGATCTTAACAATTCAAGATCAAATTCAATGTATTTTTACGTTATGTGATCATATTTATGTATTATTATATTTATATTACATTTAACTTTCTAAAATAAACAACACAAAATAAGTCAATTATTTTATACCTTTATAAATTATAAATATAAATCGATTGAGCTTGTGTCTATTATGATAATATGATATTTAATTATTGAGATTGAAATAGAAATTTAACATTATTATATTAAATTTAATCACATTATCTTTTTTAATTTTTATATGTAAATCAAATATTCTATCCCTTAAAAAATTATTTTTGAATACTGCATAAAATAATGTTGCATTAAGAGTTAATACAAATTATGTTAATATATTGTTTGATTATTATTTTTTCCAGTGGGGTGTTGCTAATTTATTACATCAATTGTCTATGGTTTACATGGAACATAATCTAGTGTCTGTTGTATTGTCCACAACTAGTTTTTTCACTCTTCTACTATCTCTATTTTTTGTTACACCTTCAACAGATCGTTTTACAGTTGCTAAACTATTAACTGTATTATTCAGCATAACTGGAAATGTTTGTACTAATTTTTAAATGATAAAAACAATAACAATAGTTTGTTTAAAATAAAATATATTATTTGMTATACTATTTAAATTTTACTTTTATAAAAGTAAATACTACTTGATTACTTTAAAATAAGATTTAAACACTTATTAAAAACAAAATTTTAAACAAACTTCTATAAATTTGTATGTCTTTGCTTTTGCTTAAAAATAATGTTATTAATTATCTTATATTTACAGGTTATAATTACATTACCTGATTCTCATTTTAGTTTTAGTGAAATTAATGTTGGATTTGCATTATCCTTATGTAGTGCTATATTTTATGCATTAAATATTGTTACATTACGATCTTGGGTAGATCACGAAGACAAATTGGACATCATATTGTACTTTGGTAATTTTTTTATATTATGCTAATTGATTTCTCTATTKTGTATCATAATACATAAGATTTGATAATTTATTTTATTTCTAGGGCTTGTTGGTCTGTTTAATGTTCTTATGTTTTGGCCGCTTTTTATTTTTCTTCATTACTTTGAACTTGAAACCTTTGAATGGCCTAACAAACAACAAGCAATATCACTATTCATAAATGGAGTCATAAAAGCAACATTGCCTGAAGTCATATGGTTATGGTAAAATAAATAGTTGTACATACTTTATTTAACCATTCTAATTTGTATTTTTATGTTAGGGGATGTTTGCTGACATCATCAATTATAGCAACAATGTCTATAGGACTAACTATACCAATGTCTTTAATGCTGTCTGGCATCTCCAGTCAAAACAAGTCTGATTATGAACGTTTTTTGTTACCATCATTTTATTTAGGTTTAGTTCCTACAACTTTTTCTTACTTTTCTCTAATATGGTTAACCTACCGATTTAATTATAATCAAAATGAATACAATTGTCTAAGCCGTTGCCGGAGAAAAAATTTAATTAGGTGAATAAACAAAAAAAATTATTAAAAAATATATTATTTATATTAATATTTTTTCATCTACAGGCTTAGAGATAGTGATGCTGAACAAGCAGAATCTCTTATACAAATTCATGAAACAGACAAAGAAGTATAATATAAATTATATGATTTATTTAGAAACTTCCAAGTTACTCACCAGGATTAATTTTTTTAGTATTTTTACCTCTTTTTGTGCAATGTATCATTAGACTTATTTACATTATTTATTTACATTATTTATTATGAGTTATATTTTTGATCCAGATTAAAATTAATAAAAATGCCAATATTATTTTTAATATATTGTTTTAAGATTCCTACTTTCATGATTTACACCATAAATTAGTATTATCTCATCAGTAAATAAAATTTATTTTACATTGTTTATTTTGTATAATAAACAGCTGAAAATGTAGTGTATAAATAATAATAAATTGGCTCATATTATGTTAAATATCTGATATTTTTAATCTGGATTTTAAATTTTAAATGTAACATCATATTATAATAGTTTATTTTATCACATTACTATATTACTATGATAAAGTATCATTTAAGTATAACTTCAAATCTTTGTTTAATCTGTGTTATTATTTATATTTTATTTATTTTTAACATATATGTATACATATTACTAAATATTTACTACTAAATGTATAGATCATTGAATACGTAATCTATTTAATTGTTAATTGTAATCCTATAAATTTTTCAACAGTCACTTAATGTTTATACTGTAGTTTGTAATATCACTTGTTACCACATATTATGAAATATACCAAAACATTTATGTCTTAGACGCTTCAATTTTATTATTTTAAAGCCTACTTAATTTTATCTTTTTTTAATTATTTAAATTTAAATACAAATTTTTTTACACTAAATAAAGTGATAAATATATTATAAATCTTACTATGGGGAACGAGGTGGTCGAGTTGTCTACCGTGTCGGCTGTGGCTCAGCCGGATCGGGTTCGATCCTCGACCATCGGGCGGCACTTGTTCTCCAGACACCATGACTTGCCCGGAGAACAAGTGCCGCCATCCCCCACTCCAGGGTATGGCAGAAACCTACGGGTGCCCCCCAATAGAAATTCTGCCAAAACTCTCTCCCACGTATAAAACCAACCTACAGTTCCACAAGAACCTACAGTACTACCCCCTTCCCAATTGCCTTGGTTGCCGCGGGATGATTAAAAAAAAAATCTTATTATTTATTCTAATTTAAATCCATAAAAACCATTAATTTAAATTGTAATCATAAGACTCTACCTTTACTGACTCAGATATTTAATTTTGCAACAGTAAGGTATTTTTTTAAAGCTAATTACAGAAAATCAAATTATACTAATCTCTATTAATTTGGATCTTATAGCTTTTAAAGAATATTTATGATCAAGGGCGGACTGGCAGGGCGGGTAAGTGGCCATACCCACCCAGGCCTTCTAGACATTTTATGTTGGGGCCTCGAGCTATATTTATTATGTTTGATAATTTTTCAATTCCACACAGTAATCATTACCATGAAAAGTCAAAAACAAAGACTACAATATTACAATAGGTACTATTTACAAAAATTAAGTAACTGGAACAGTCAGACTGCAGCCGCGAAGGCTATGAAAGTTATTTTAGATTCATTTTTGGAATATTTGTAATTTATTAATTTTTTAAAACAATAATAGTAATTAGTATTAAAAATAGTGTTTAAATTAAAAACAATACATTTATTTTTGAAATTTTTTATTTT